CTTTTCAGAAAGATTATCAGAAGATGAATGGTTAATTAAAATTGATGACTTGATCTGTTCAAATAAAAATGATAAGCCTATGGTGGCAATAACACGAGTGATACGGCGTACATTACCTCAATTGTATGTGCAAATCAAAGTAATTAGTGATGTTTTGTTCTAGTCCAAAAAACTTTAACTCAAATGCTTTTTCTATACTATTTTTCAGCATAAAGGCATTTTCTCTAGGACCTTCCAATCCTCTTCTCAACATTACATCTATTGAAAGACCTCATCTTAATTCTTTTGTTCATCCATGCTTGGAATCCACTTTATGGAATGTTGCGCGTGTGAATTATGAATTTGGTGAAATTCATTTCCACAGTAATTTAAAACGTGAATATGCAGATGGTATTGGAAGGATGGTGGGACCAGATAAATACCAATTAGTATATGTCGAAGGATCCAAGCCAGATGCAAAAGATGAAAAAGAAGTGGCCGACTTTGAAAAAATGACTAGAAACTTGAAGCAGATGTTTCAAAACATCATGAAGGATATTGTGAAGAATAGACGATGACATCCGGTCCAAATGGCTGTATTTGGTGGACAGTCCTTCAGACTCAGAATACATCTTTTTTATCTCAATTATTGTTGCGATATATTGCATCAAAAATATTTCACGTTTTTTGACATTGATGTGTGAGTTTCTCATAAACAATATTGTTGTGATTGTAGGTAGGCATTGTCTAAACGAAATTGATAACACAAACCTTCCCCAAGATTTCACTGAAATGGAGGACTTTGTTTTGTTTTATGAGTTATGAGTGCATTTTAAAATGGGCAGTATGTATCAATGATTTATTTATTTTTATTATTTTTATGTAATATTTTTCTTACACGTTCTAAAAAATTTGCTACTAAACCAATTTTAAATTCTACTATCTAAATATAAATTCAGTTACTGGTTTTTAATATGACAGAAGAATTCAAAGATGCAAGAGGTCAAAAACGGCTATCAAGGAATCCATATGGAAAAAGCATGCGTTTACTTGATGATCTGAAATCTTGACTTGTTTTTTCTTCTTATTTGGAAATATTGATTAAGTGGATAATTTCATTTGGTTATATGTACTAGACTGACTTTTTTTGGAGTAGGTTTTGTATATTTTTAATGTTGTTATTTTTAATACATTTCTTTAAAGAGGACTCGATTTCATTATTTCTTTTCTATCAAATACTTGATTAACTGGACTAGAGAGTATAAGATTTTTCGATTCGAATTATTGTTATTTAATTCGAGTGCTTGAATTATATTGAATAAAAATTTATTCAACTCATTGTTATTATGAATTTGAATTAAGAAATTGGCATTATTATTCTATTACTATTACGAATAGACAATGGACACAAATTTTGAACCCTGCACTCGTTTCATGTTCACTTTGTCTGGTTTTGTTGCAGTATGCTCCATATAAACCCATACCCTCTCCCCCATGTCGGTATCACAAAAATTTTTACTGTATCATATTACGTGTAATGTCGAGAGCTCCCAACCCCAAACTGAATGACATTATTTTGGGTACCCCCAGGGCAGAGGTGAAGAGTAAATTGTATGAAAAAATGGCAAATGATATTTGTAGGTTTGCTTTGATCTTATTATATGTGACACTTTTATTGATCTTTTCAGTAATTATTTACTAATAAAAGAATTGACAACCTCAAAAGACATTGTAATGGATTGTGATAGAGCAGTCAAAAAGGGAAAATATTAGAGCACAGTAAGTCTTGATATAAACTCTTAATGATAAATAATGATTTGGTAGGTAATTAACACATGTTTGCAATTATAGATCAATTGAATCTCGTTTTATAGACCTTGCCAATTGGACAGAGCTGGAGTGATATTAAAACTTGAAGACAAAGTTGCATTAATGAAATAGTTTAATAAAAAATTGTGTATGGAACAAATAGATAAAAGGCTTTGGATTTTATTGTTAACCCATCAAATAACTTGGTAATAAATAATGTTTATATTTGTAAAGGTATATTGTAATGTAATATGATTAGCAAGTAAATATTGCTTATATTACAGAGGATTTTGAACGATTTACAATTATTGGTTCTGAAGATGCTATATTTGCATCTGAAATCTGAAATAATTTCTTTCTTGTAAGTTACATAATTTGGGTGTTGGTTTGATGTTATTCATTAGGTCTCGATGAATGGAATGAATCACCATCACTGCTGAATTCAAATAACTTTCTTAAATCACAAACTAAAGAATTCCGGTTATAAAAACACCGGCAAAAAGAAAAAATCCTGATCTCGAATTTTTGGTCATACAGGATCTACAATAACGCCTGTTATTACAAGTAATTCATCAGTTAAGCTGGAACAACCTTCACATAGTGAAACAGAAAAAATGAGCCATGGGAAATTGGATACATTGTATGAGCAAAAAATCAGAAGAAACGAAGAGTTAAAACAAAAATGACCCATATATTAAAGACTTATTTACTAATGAACAGCCACTAAGTAATTGTTTACATTGAGTTTTTTAAGAAAAAGGAAAAAATAATGGAATTAATTAATGATATTGTTGTTATTTGGTAATTGCCCTTTTTGATGTGTTAATATACATATGTTCGCCAATACTAATAAATTAATCCGAGTTAGATGATAATATATTTTTCTTCTGATTTTCCCTTCATGTTTATGCATTGATGTTCTTTTATTAGTTATGATTTTTCTTTCTTCTTGGTAAAGTTCATAGGCAATCCTTTCTTTTCTTGGGATAAGCTTCAAGTGTCCGAGTATCATTATTTTGAAAATGTAAGGAGCAATTTTTTCGCCTTGTTCCTTTTTTAAAATACTTCTAATTGTACTGTAATTCTAGTGATGTCAAAAAACATTATTGACCCCTGAAATTCTGTCTGGTTTTGTTGCTGCTGACATTATGAAAAATCTGAAGAATATTTCACTGCCGGATATTGAATCTATGGATTTATTTTTTCTATCAGACTAGTCTGATTTTATTAAAATCAATGAAAGAACTCTTAAAAAACTGAAAGTTTGATTGTTTTCAATATAAAGATATGTTTTTAAAAAAGCTATTTCAATCAATTGCACAATATTGTAAAAGTTTAGAAAAGTTATCAATAATTTACAAGAATGAATGAATTAGACCAAGAATTAATGGAAGTATTCAATAATTGTATTAAATTAAAGTGTATTGAATTTGAAGAAGTTGATATTCTGCATTGGATTTTGATAAGTAGTTCAAAAAATTTAAAAATCAATAAGTTTTGCTTATGATATTACTAATATTAGTCACCATTACATAATCGTGCCAAACTTATTACTGAATTGGATTTCTTATATCAATTAAAAAAATGATAAAGATTGATGAACCTCGTAGGCACAAATATTCCAGAGAAAGATCGAAAAAATTGCATTTTAGACTATTTTCAAAATCTTTACAAGTTAGTTTGTAGTTGTTTTGTTCAAAAAAATTACATTCACATGAAGTTATTTTTTAAGTATAGCAAGCAGTTAGTTTCATAATTGATTGCATGGTTTTGCCATGAAAATATGTATATATTAGAAGCCAAAATCAAAGAAACTTTAGGGCATTAATTTTACCATTCAATCATTCAAGATCATTACTATCACCATATTTGCAATATAAAATAAAGCATTTTTTTGTTTTTAAAAATTTTTGAAAATTACATGAATAAATAATTTTAAAATACAAACCAACAATATATTACATAATAATACAATCTTCAGCTTTCAAACCGTATAATTCTTTATCAACCTCTTTCTTTATTATCAACCAATCCTCCCTTTTCTGAACAAATTCGTAAACATCTTCAGCATGTAAAATACCCTTGAATCTCTCAGCTTCTCTAATAAATAATCCAATATCTTTAGCTGTTGATATAATGTAAATGTTACCTAATTCTTTTAATGCAAGAAAATATGGTGTAATGTTTGGTTGTCTAAGAGTTGAAATAAACGAGCAATAATAGTTTAAGTCGCTGGGTGTTTGGAGAAATGAATGGAGGGATGAAGGAGAGTAGAGAATTTTAATAAATATATATATAAAGGAAAGATTTTTTTTTTGATGTATATTATGAATGAGAGCAATTTATTTATTTACCTTATTACTTGAAATCCACCATTTAGATTTACAGTATATTTTTTCAAGTGTTTTATCAAGATTCTAAAAATATTAATAAAAATAACACTTAATAAAAATGCCATTCAGCAAAAATGAAAACGCACGCACAGCACGCATGTGAATTTATTTACTACTCACCCAAACAGTCTTAATCCAATTTCTTGAAAAAACACATCTAGTGTATTTTTATCCGTACAACCCAAAACTAATTTAGTATATGTGGATAAACACTCAACTGCATCTAAACATGCCTAAATAAATATTAATTAATCAATACCGTAGGATATGTAAGGTATGATAAGCTAAAAAATGTATTACTATAATTTAATTTATTACTTTAGTAGGTTTTAAATCTAACAGTGTATCAATTGGTCTAAAATTTTCAGGCAATTGTTCTGTGATTAATATAAATTCTACTTGATCAATTAATACCTATTATTAAAAAAACCAAAATTATTTAAAATATGCACAACAGATCGTGCAAACGTATACGAAAGTTTTTTTTGAATGCTTACCTGAATACCTTTATTTAAACCAGAAGCTACACAATCATCTAAAATTTTCTCGAAAATTTTCTTTTCTTTATTACAAATATTTAAGAAATCTGCTTTGTTAACATATCTATTCTATAAAATAATAATGATAATAATCAATGAAATTTAATTATAACAATTAACTATCAAATTTTAATAAAAATATAACTTACATTCGCCATTTCTTCATCATAATATACTTGAACCATTTGTTGTATTAAATCAGCAATATGAACCAATTCAAAAAATTCTACTAATGGTGTTAAATTATTTGTTGTTTTTATTATTGTTGTTGATGGCGATGGTGGAGATTTAGATTCTGAATCTAACTTATACTCTCCAAGATGTTTTATTGCACTTAAAAAAAAAAAGACTAAAGTTAGTTATTTTGAAATATTAAAAAAACTATTATAATTCTTATAATAAATATAATTACTATCATTAACGCACAAATCCTTACGTTTCAAAACCTGTTTTCATATGTAATGGACCTAATTTTTTTAATAGAGTATTAAATACCATTTCTATAGTGTCATTTCTAAATTATAATAAATAATGTTTAATTAATAAAAATGATAATAATATTTAATAATAATAATATTATTATTACTATTACTACTATTATTATTACATTTTATAACCCATTTTATCAGGATATTCAATAAATCCACCAACTCTTCTTAAAGAATCTTTATTGATATGAATTAAATTTAATGCAGTTTCCAAACTCAACAATTGTGGTAATTGATTGATTGTTATATTAGACGACGACGACGACGACGACGATGATGTGAAATTATCTGCGTTGGAATTCGTTGTAGTAGTACTTGATACATTATTATTGATATTGTCATTATTACCATTATTATTGTTGGTGGTAAAATTAATGGAAATCCGTAAACGATTTGTTGGCACTTTTAAAATTTTCCGAAATGATGATAAGAAATTACGTTTGTAGACTTCTCTATTTGAATTATCAACAAGTGTTTGCTGTTGTGCATCAACGGATTGATTCAACTACTTTTTCATTATGATTATTATTTGTCGAGGAAATAAATAAACAAACAAACAAATTTAATTTAAATTTAATTTAATCTAATCTCTCTCTCCCCCCCTTTCTATCGGATATCCTACCTACCTTTTGATTCCATTTTTCAATTTCGTCGTCACTCTGTTTCTCAACATAATTTAATTCTTGTTCCAAATACGAGCCCATAAATGATTCAAACATTTGAAATATCAAATCCTCTGCTCTTATTTTACTTAATCCAGGTTTTATATCTCGCCAAATTAACTTGCAAACATGTAAACAACGATTGTATGCTGTCACTACACTTTTCAAATATAATAAAATGTCATGATCGTGCGATAATTTTAAAAATGTTGATATATATTCTGAGATCTATAATATTAGTTTTATGAATAATATTAATAATAATATAAATGTTTTTAATAAATAATAATGATAACTTGATTTTTTTCATCTATATAACAAACTTACAACATCTTCAACAACACGTTCAGTAAACGTGAAGAAGACATCAGCATCATGTGGAAAAACTTGTCCAATTAAAGTTGCTTGTCGTTTTAATTCTTCCTCTATATAAATGAAAAATTCTTTCAATGGTTGATATGATAAATCTGACGTTGTTGATAATGTTGTTGGTGATTTTGGTGGCGATGACGAGGATATGTTTCTAGATTATAATAAAAAGATTGATAAATACAAGTTCAAGAAAATAACAATACTTAAAAAAAAAAATCAAAAAAAATTTTATTGCGCTTCACATACATGAAATTTTCTTCTGGATTATATAGGTGATCAAAAAATATTGAATTCTTTTGTATAAATACTTGAATACAAGAATTTCCTCCATTCAAATCCAATAAAATATGAGCCCATTTCTTAATAATCATGGCAAATAAAAATACTTTTAGTAATTATTGTTATCATTTATACACACTTTTTATTTCGTTAAACACTGAGTTTGTTTACCTGCATTTCTGATATATTGTGAGAATCATATGCTAACTCAAAATGATGTAAAGCTGAATTTTCAAAATATTCGATTACAGTTTCCAATGCACTATTAATCTTTTTATAAAAATAATTATACCGATATTTATTAATAACAGTATAATTATTATAATTACCAAAACCACAATCATAATAAGTAAATTTCGTACCTTATCAGAATCTGAAGTGATATTTATTTTACCAAAATTATTTATCTTAGCCAACATTTTAGCTTGATTTCTTTGATCAAAATACTCTTTAAACAATCTACTATCTTTTCTTTTATGTCTAAAGTCGATATAGTATGGAATTAATTCTAAATATATTTTCTTAAATTCTTCTCTCGCAATACCAGTTGATGAAGCACGAGATTTTTGTGAAAAAGAATCAGAGGAAAGTCCAGGAATTGACGTTTTATTGACGTTGAAATTATTATTGCTGTTGTTATTGTTGTGATTGTTACTGTGATTATTGTTGTTCTTGGATCTTGCAAAATCTATTAAATTTCCTGAGGAGTTGGTCGTAGTATTTGATGTTATGGATGAAGGTTGTTCTTGTGGAATTGGCGAATCAAAATCAATCAACAATGCTTCATTACATTTGTTTCCAATATTACTACCATTACCAACAATGTCATTATTACTATTATTATTACTGCTACTATTATTACTACTACCATTACTTGGAGTATTATCATTATTACCATTGCTATTACCATTACCATTACCATTACTACTACTTGCAAGATTAAAATATAAAGATTCACTCATTATACTATCAACGACAATTTTATTATAATTACTCCAAGCACCCAAAGTTTTCAAATGTTGTTCCCACAATTCATCATCATAAACCAACACTTTGAATCGACGTGAAGCAAGTGCAAAATTCGGGAGAGAAGTTATTGGTAAATATTTCAATATGCGAATCAGTATATCAGGTGGTAATATAGATTTTTGTTTTTGCGCCAATAATATTGATAAATCATCATTTTTTGTTGCTGATATAGATTTCCTAGTTAAAGTATTTAGACCTGGTATTGATTGTATTCCCGGTATTGATGGAATTGTGGGAATTGAAATATTAGAAGGAATAGAAGGAATAGCAGCAAAAAAATCAAATTTATCCATTTCTCTTGTAATCTTTTACTTGTTAATTATATAATAAGAAATTAGTTTTGTTCTCTAATGATTTTTTTTTTTAATTTGTTTGATAAATATATATGACAAGATTTAAAATGAAAAATAATCTTGTAATGTTGTAATGGAGTAACAGAAGCAACAGAAGTTTGTGGGAGCTTCTATGAAGTCATTCAAAATGGAAATGTAACACCAAAAAACAAATCGTAATTTTCATTTTGAGCCTCAAAGTCGCACAAGTTACCGAATTTACTATGTTCAGCCCTAAAATTAGCGCGTTACATGCAGAAAAGTTAATATATGAACGAATTAAAACAAATAAAAAATTTGAATTGTTACAGATCTTTTATCACGCGAATTGCCCAGATGAACTCTTTATATATATATATATACTTTTCACCTAAGCATTTAAAAATATATTTCATGGAAATACATTTCATTTCTATTGTTAATGTTAACTAGTACTAGATAACAAATGGTATGATTTTACTATTTATGAAACGACTTATATAGGAAATATATGACCAAACAATTTTTATTGCATTTTTGAGGAAATTTTTTTTCTCGGAAATTGGTGAAAGTTGTTGTGACTTGCTTGTACCGTCCTGTAAATAAAAATAAAATTTGTAATTTCGTACAACAAACTCTTATCAGTATATTCTCACACTATCAACGCAGTAAATGATGTAAAATAATACGGAGATCATAAAAAAGAAAAAAAGATAATGCAAATACCGTTTGTGCCTGTGAAATTATTATGTGAACTCAGAAATTACCATATCAATATGAATTTGGGCGAATGTAGGCGAAACCCGTGACACTTAATCATCACATGATTAATATATGATACAATTATGAACAAAATTGCATTTGATTGGCTGTTACCACGTGATAATTAATTGTCACGGGTTTCGCCCACATGTACAATCTGAATGTTATTATTCCTTCCATTTACACCTTCCAGTCATTCCCGTCATTCCGGCCATTCATTCCATTTCAATCATTCCTTCAATTCAATCCATAATCAAAAATAAATTCTAGAATATGAAAACGGAAGAGGATAGATGAATAATATTAACAAAAAATTCATCCTTGAACATATTTATTTAAATATTGTTTGTTGTTGCACAGTTTGTAATAGATAAGAGAAATGCATAATCATCAAGATCATCTATCTACTACAAACAATAACCAAAATTAATTAAATTGTAGATCATTTATAGAAATTTTTATATATTCATATATATATAAATGGATAATCTGATATTTGCGGGGTTTAATACTAATATTAGCGATGAAACAAAAATTAGGATTTTTAGAAAAGAGAAAAATCAATGAATGTAATGTAATATACTGTATATATTGTAAAGGACAAACCATTATTATTTATAGATCTACAATCTTATCATGTCACGCAATGTAACTTTGTAAATATAAATAAATATAAATAATAACATATTTATAAATGATGGAAGAATTTTTTTTTTTGTATAAATAGTTTAATAATTTAGGTTTTTATTTTTTTTATTTCAATTAATTTAAATTAAAATTTTTTTAAGTTTTCTATCTCTTTTTTTTTTTAAAATCAATAAATAAAAAATGTCATTAAATAATTTCCCGGTATTATGTTTAGGTGAAATATTCGAAATCCTGTATAAAGATGGATCACTTGGGAGTCTTGGTAATTGTGCGATGGTTAACAAACAATGGTATGTCCTTGTTATACCCAAGTTATGGAGACATCCTTTTTATCCATCAAGAATAATTTTTAAAGAATCCTGCATAAATTCAATAATACCATTTCTGCCTCCTTTAACTTATAAAAAATACATAAAATTATTACCCCTCGAAAATCATCATAATAAACCTTTTTATAATTATCTTCAATATTTACAAATCTTTGATTTATCGAGAATTGAAACCGATTCAAGATATTGGATCAAGGAAAATATTAAATATGCGATTGGGAATCAATCTGAATTTGAGATTGAAAATGAGATTGAAGAAATTTCTCGCAAATTAACAAGATCACTTTATGAATATTTTATAAATCACAGTTTAAATATTCGTACAATAATTCTTGATATGAATAATAATTATACGATACAACAACGTTCGACGTCACCAATTGAAGAAGAAGAGCTAAATATATTTTTGTATCCCAATGCCAAAACGAATCTTACGAAAATCAAAACATTAATAACTCATGGCGAATATGTTGATGGATTGTTGTCGACTGCTTCACAAATTCTTTGCAATCTCAAAGAAATTCAATTCATCCTCACCAACTCAAATTACTTTGCCACAACATTTCAGGATTTAAGCAAATTGATAGAGTCGCAAAAATCATTGGAAAATCTGTTGATAAAATGTAGTAGATCAAAGCCACTTGGATTCAAAAATATTTTTCAATCATTGATCAACACCCAATTTGAATCGTTGGCAATTCTTACATTGGAAAATGTCGACTTTCAAAGTGAATTTCCATTTAAATTATTTATTTCGTTGAAGGAATTAAAATATTTGAAATTGGAGAGGTGTATAAATTTTGGAAATATTACTAGCGATAACGACTACTATGATAGTAGTAATAATAATAACAATAGTAGTAGTAGTAGTAGTAGTCCATTTAGTAAACTAGATACATTGATTATAAATAGTTGCTTAATTCCCATGGAATTACCCGAAATCATTTTCTCAAAATCTAAAAATTTAATAAACGTAAAATTTTTAGGTGAACAAACAATTTCAAATTGTTCCAATTATTTAACACTTTTAACAAGTTATTGTCGAAATTTAAAATATTTTTCTGGGACAATCAACTTTAAACAACAACAACAAATGATGGATTTGATTGAATTCCTTAAAGCAAGTAAGAATTTAGAAAAGGTCGCTATTAATGATATAAAAAAAATACGCACAAATGGACGTTCGTTAAATCATATTTGGGTTGAGAAACCAATAATATCTTCATTGGCAACAAATACAACAAATACAAAAAATACTAATGGTGATAATTTGTTCAGCGAATATCTGCCAGAAATTGGTAAATCTTTACCAACCACAATAAAAACATTTAAAGTTAGAAATGTTTTATCATTTTCACCTGATTGTTTAAAACAATTTCTAGCCAATTGTAAAGGTGAATTGAAATACTTGGGATTTGCTAGTTGTAAAGACTTTTCTAGTGCACATTTGCAGGCTATTATTGATTATATTGAAAATAAAAAGAGAGACGGTAATTGTGGTGTTGATGGTGAAATATTGAAAAGATTAAATGTGAGAGGTTGTTATTTAATCAATTTCGAAGATTTATCATATGTTAAAAATTTCATAAAAATTGTTAATGGTAAACCTTGATAGAATAAAATAACATTTTGTAAATATTTTAATTTTAATAATTATTTTAATTTAATAAAAAGAATTTTAAATTATATCTAAATCAAGTTTTAAATAATAATAATATTAATATTAATTGATAAAATTAATCAGACTCCACTGCAGTAAAGTTGCCGTCAAGTTAAAAAAAAAAATTCTTTGACAGAACCATATCATAAACAACGTCAATAACGTATAATTTTTTGTTTTTATTAAAAATTTGATAGTATTTTTAACAATTAGGGGCTGCGACAAAACCAAAGTCATCACCCATTCTCAGGTAAAAACAGTCAAACTACAAATCCCTCAATCATTATTGAACACAATAAATAACATCTTTATATCAAAAAAAAAAATTGCTTACCTTTGCCAGCGATTTTTTCTGTTGAAGTTATCATTTATTTTTAAATAAAACGAGTAACAAATTCACTAGCAATCGAAATACACTGAAGAAATTGAAAAGTTGTTACACTTTTGATCACCAAAAGATTCAGAAACATTAATGTTAATGTTATTAGCGGCTAAAGATGGCACCTCAATTAATTGCGAATAGTTGCAGCTAATTGCGGTTCCCATCTTTAGTAACGGCACTGTTGACTTTTTTAACCATTTTTTATAATATTTTTGTATTTATTATAATGTTCAAAATACAGTTAAGGCTCGTTACAGTGGATTCTTGGTTTCATAGCTAGTTTTTATTTTTTTCCCACTATAACGAGAGACAGTTAATTATAAAGTGTTATATATATATAAAAAAAAAAAAACAAAAAACAAAAAAACAAAAAAAGTCCACTATAATAAGATTTTTTACTTGATAAATGATTTTTTGAAATTTAATTTCTATGTGATAATTTAACCTTTAATTCACCGCATTGATTACCATTAATAATAGAATTTCTATATACAAGTTTATCATTTACCAATTCAAATTCATATTTTTTATAGAATAAAGCAACCAGTAATTTGAGTTGATTCATTGCTAAATGTCTTCCTGGACACATACGCAATCCACCACCAAAAGGTAAAAATGTATTTTTGATAAAGGAATCTTCACTATTGTTGTCATTATTTTTGTTTTTTAAGAATCTCGAAGGATTGAATTTAGTTGGTTCATTCCAATAATTTGGATTCATGTGTAAACTTTTGACATTTATAACCGTTAGTGTTGAACCTGGAATTTTGTAGTCACCTATTTGATCAAAATTTGTTGCTTCACGGCCAATTGATGATCCGATAGGTCTAATACGTAAAACTAACAATATAAATATATTAATTATGTGTAAACCATAATAATAATAATCATGATTTATAAATTAACAAAATAAGATCAACCTTCTTTTATTACAGCTTCAATGTATTCCATTTTTTTTAAATCTTCATAATCTAAATTAGATTTATCTCCAACTACCTGTTCAATTTCTTTAAGAATATTTTCTTCAACCTCGGGATGACTAGATACATAATATATAACAAATGAAAAAGCATCAGATGACTTTTTCATGAAAGAGAAAATTTTGGTTATTAGATTAATTAATTAATATATCACTAAACAAACAAACATAAATAAGTAAATAAATATACACACAGTCTGAATTCCCCCAACGAATGTTTCAGAAATAACATTGATAATTTCTACATCAGACATTGGTTTATCATTTAAATCATTTGCAATGCCTTGAGTAATATCTTTTGGAGTATTAATAGTTAACAACATATTCAACATATCAGGTGTCAAGTTTTCTTTATCGCTAATATTTTCAATTTTCTCTCTAGATTCTTTGATTAAATTGATAATATACTTTCTTGTTGATAAAAATTTGTTTAATAGATAATTTGAATAAATCTTTATCAATGGCAAATTACGTATAAACAAAGGAAATGTTGCATAATATCTAACACAATCTTGTACAAAATCTAAATTACGTAAATATTCATCCTCTGCAGTTTTAACTATATTTAAATCTTTTTCTTTTTTACTGATTTTGTAATAATTCAATAACATATTAGTTTGCCTGTTTGTTGCTAATAACATTATATTTTCGGTGAAGACCCTTTTGATCCAAGGCACAAGATCCATTTCCAATACTTTTTTTTGATGAATTCCCTTACTTGTAATAGATTCTCCCATTTCATTAATTAAAGAATCCCAATAAGTTTCTAAATCTTTAAAAACACGATTTACAAGATCAGCTGAAAACTTTAATGCATTTGGAGCCATTATAGCTCTAATAAGTATTTTTCTATTATGAGCCCATTTGTTAATGTCTCTATTTACAACAATTCCTTGGGTGCTTTTTCCTAATTCGTCTAGTCCTTTATTAGGTGTTGAACGCATTATGTAATTACTATTTCTCAATGGACTCAAAACACGTTCAGTGATTTGTAAATTGTTAATGATCAATTGTCTATTAAGTCCAAGGTAAATTTCAAATACATCACCATATTTCAAATGTAATGAATCAAGCCATGATGAAATATCACGACGATGATAAAAAAATTGATGCAAGTTTCCTAATAATGGTAAAGGAAAAGGACCCTTATAAGGATTTGAACGAGTAAAATATTTATAATAATATTTTAATGATGAAAAAATTATTGATATAAATGATATTGTTGCGAGTGCTGAAATGATTTCTTTTAACGAAAACATTTTTTTTTTTTTTTTAAGTTGGAAATTTCAATAAATTTCAATTAGTTCACACGATTATAAATGATATCCTAAAATAGAAATAAATATTCGTTTTTGTAAATTTTCTGGCCACAGTTACGTACAATAGTAGCCAATTTAAGTTCCCTCCTTCCTGATAAAGACTTCTAGCCCTTTATCATTACATGTATAAAAATATGTTCCTTGCATTTCGGGTAGTGTTAATATCATAGCCTGGTACATATCTGGAGCACCAAAACCGTTGAGGTTTACTAAATAACTCTTCAAATTTGGTGCATATTCTGCTAGTTTTACTCTACATCTTTTCCTTAACTCCCACATCAGTTGCTTTACTGGACCAGCAGCATGACATTGATGAGAATGGAGCATGGCTGTGATTATAAAATGTAAAAAAAATTTTTTAATATAGTAAATAATATAAAAAATTAACATCATAAAAATAGGTAGTATTTTACCCAAATGCTACAACAATTTTCACTCCTGCACATTTTATCCATCGATTTTCGTTTGCCAACATAGTATAGTTTGACCGTCTTTACTTTTTTCTTTATAAATAAAAGTATTTCAGAGAGACACTGCACTTGTGAAATTCATAGTATATATAATAATAATATTATCAAAATTACAATGGCTTGTATGTATTTATGTATTTATTTTTATTCGTCCAGACTTCTCTTTTTTTCATCGAAAAAGTCTTATGAAATTAGAAAGCGTTAGAACTGGAATCAACGTTAATATAAAAGTAGTAAGTCCCCAACATTATTAGTAATTGTTATAGCGAAATGTGATCTTGATAAGAACGACAGCAATGTTATACTTTGAGGGAAAACATCGAAGCTTGGTAATCTTCACATCAAGTCAAATAACATATCAAAGTAAAAGAAGAGCAGAATGCCAAGACTCTTCTGTACGTCATGTCAAATTTATTAGATTATGCGTATCTCACTATTTGAGCAGTAACATTCCAAAGACACTTCGTATTTGAGTGCTTTCCTCTTTTTGGTTCAGTTAATGTTTTATTTTAGATCCATTGTTTAGCCCAAGCTCTAATACATCTCTCTTTATAAACTTTTCCCCATCCTAGAGACACTGCCACCAATTCACTCGCATCAACCTTTTTTCTATCATCATCTAAATGTCTAAAGTACATTTCAATCACCATTAATCTAGACATTGTATCATTGGCTAAATTGTGAGTTTCAAGAGCCTTTTCAACTAACTTATTGGATTTTCCCAGTCATCTTCATCATTACTTTCAGATGGATCTCCATTGGGGGTTTTAACATTAAAAAAATTGGTGATTTTGGAAAATCAAACTGCAGCTTCTCTCAACGCCTTGGCATGTCGTTGTTGTGTCCTTACTGAATAAAAATAGGCACTATTTTTGTTGAAGTGTCATGCGCAATGGTAGATTTTTCAAATTTATTCATATTCATATCCTTCCAGGAATTATCATTAGAACTTGAATCAGATTCGAACTCGACTTTAACTTCAATTCCAGACCCAGCTTCAGAACTCAGATCTTCATTCATTTCAATTCCACCGACAATGTTGTTTTCCGAAAACTACTTAATCAAGGCCGGAAGTTTATTGCTAGCAAAACCGGATCACTGCTTCTTTTATATTTGGCTAGTTTTGCATTTTAGCTTGTCTTTTGTTAGGTCTGCCAAGATTAAGGCACTTAAATTATTTATATTAAAAATCAATTTTAAAGTGTTTAAGAAGTTTGATTTTAACAATATAGTAGGAAAATGCTTAAATCAGAAATTTAAATAGTAATAATTAGGAGATTTGATTTTTTAATTGTTTGATTTAGATTTTTTTAATAACATTATATCTCATTTATATTCAAAAATTTATTACTTTGGACCATGAAGCATTGATAAAAATAAATGATAAAAATCGTTTACATTTGACTAAAATGATCATACATTTCAATTCAGTGAATAATTTGTTTTACTCTTTCTCTTTTTCTCTTTCAACATAAAGCATTGATAAAAACAGATGATAAAAGTCGAATATTAAATGATGTAAATGATGAATTTGCTAAATTGAATTTAAAAAATTTAAAAAGCAATGATAGTTTATTAAGCGACCTTGATATTAATGAAATATAATTTTAATAAGGAAATTAATTAAGTAGTATTGAATTTATTAATTAATTATAATGACGATAATAATAAGTAGTTGATAAGGTTAAAGTTGGAAAATTGAGTGTATTGTCTGATGGTAGATAATTTATTATTTTCACCATTTATTAATTATTTCATTACCTTCATTATTAATAATTTATTTGTTTATTTTTATTATTATTTCTAAAGAGTTTGAAATAAATTCGATTAATTTCTTTTAGAATCATGCATTTTTATATTTGAATAATTAATATAATACATAATTTTCCTGATGTCAAAAGTTAAAATCATCTCAAGATCAAATGTTAAATGCAAAATGGACAATACCAAATTTCACTTTTGAAATAAAAGTTAATAAATTCTTTTTGGTGTTGATTGCATTTGAAGCTAATTCATTATTCAAAGTCCCAAATCAAAGGATCAATAATGAGGATGATGAGGATGGGTAACATAAAGTTTTAACCGGATTAAAAATTCATTTTAACAAAGGAAAAAACGCATTAAAATTCACTATATGTAAAGGAGCATTTGGACTTACTTTTTATTCCAATCATTTATATCATATTCAATATTTTTACTGTAGGAAAAATTAAAGAATTTGTGATACCAAATTCCCAAGAGAAACAATTAAGCATTTATAATATTAATATGTTAAAAAATCAAATTTAAGATACCACAAAAAGGAATGTTGTTGTGTCAAAAATACAAATTTGTTATATACTAAATTTTTTTTTGTGAGGATATATAACCGAGTATATTAACTTGTTCAGATGTGGGATATAAATGAGGACGAAATTAAGAGGGGGTATAATGGGTGGGGAAGTTAACAGCAAAGACAGAAGAGAATTAGTACTTAAAAAGTTGTAATGAAATGGTTAGTATTGCTCATTCTGCTTTTCCAACCGCTTCTATTTCTGACGGAGAAAATAAAAAAAGTTATCAGTCAATGAAAACAAAAAACAATTAGAAAATGAAAATGAATTCCAGATTTGGGTGACTCCATAATAAATAACTCAGATCGCACGCTTGCAATATTTATAGGCCATAATAATTTAAATAATTATGGCATCACGATTTTGCGGTCTAAGGCTTTTACGACTTTTAGAATGTTACGTCGAATTTATTTATGTAATGCTGAATTAATAATATTAATTTTTTTTTAAATAATATTTTTGTGATACATGTTTGTGGCCGAAAAAAAGTTCTTTAGAAAAAAATTTTTTTTGACAATATAATAAAAAATTACAAATAATTTTAAAAATGGAAAACACTTTGGACGAAAATAAACATCATGATGATACTTCTATTGACAAAAATGATGATAAATATTCAAAGGAAAGATATAAAGATTTTGGGGAATGTCCAACCTGCAATAGATATAATACTCGTTATTCATGGTGTCAATCATGTGATCCAAAGCTATTAACTGAAGGATGGACTAGTGGCAATGAAACATTAGATGAGT